AGAATTCTAACTTGACAGTTACTTTCCCACAGTACTTTTAAGTATCATTGTGTGTTTCCTGACTTGTTTTTCCCAGTGAGAACTTTGCTGTTCATCTGATTATTCTTTTCCAGGTAGCCTCTGTTCCCCATTTTCTGATTTTAACTTTTTTGTCCTTAATTTTTAGTAGTTTTGTTGCAATATACCGCAGTGTGGTTTTCTATTTAATGCTTTTGATAATTGAAAAACATATAATTTATAGTATAACCTTTCATTAGCTTCAAAATTTCTCAGCCTTTATTGTCTGTTTTAAGTACACATGCTAGGCAAGTACTGTACCACTGTACTGTATCCCCAGCTCAGGTATCTCTTTAAATATTATTGGCTACATTTCTTTTTCTTGAATTCTGTATTTAAGTATGTTAACTCTTTGACATTGTTCTCTCTGTCTGGTACAGTCTCCTGTTTCCCATCCATGCTTTTTCTCTATATTTTCTTTTTGTGTGTGGGTGTGTGTGTGTTTTAAATTTTTATTTTAAAGAATAAAAGAAGGATAACATAATAATGGGGGGGCTTACCAAATTACAGACAGAGTGGTAGGAAATTATCAATGGTTATTGTTTTACATATTGTTATCTACAAGATAGTTTCTTGGGAAAACAAATAGACAAATAATAGTGAGTTACAGACAAAAGAGGTAGGAGATTATCAATAGTTGTTGTACTATACTTTGGTATCTTCAAAGTGGCTTCTAAAGAAAATAAATACAGCTATCTATACATGAGTGACCAATTGAATAATCATTAACTATTCTCAAGGGTTGTTGTAGGAAGCACATAGTAATAAACATAGTCCACTTATGAAATAGAATAGGAACAATACAAACATTACAGAGTTTTGGATAGATTAGTAGGAAAATATCCATGGCTGCTGTAATACATGGTGGTATTTTCAAAGTGGTTTCTCAGGAAGACAGAGATACACAAGAAGGTTCTAACAAGTAGTTACAGCCTAAAAGTTGTCAAAAATAGCATATTACCTCCTCACCAGTGACTGCTTTCACTGAGGTGTTACAGCCGGAAGGAAGGCCAGGATTAAAAAGAGGGACTGAGAGACTTGCACCTGTGTTTAGCAACAGGCTGTTTTCTTGTTCCTCCATAGTCATGATTACCCGGGGCTCCTCCATGGAGATGACAGTCTGGCCAGAGGGAGGAGGCAGAGTGTGACCTGGGCCCCTTCCATTCCTGTTGGACTAACTGGTAGAATGGGTTTGAGCTCCAGGGCCTCTGCTTCAGAGGGCAGACCGATCTCCAGTGGTCACCTTTGTATTCAGGGCATGGCCCACGGGGCCTCTTAGGGCAGTTCCTCTTGAGGTGGCCTGGCTTTTAACAGCGGTAGCAGATGAATGCAGTCGTCAAGTTCTTCTTGGGGTCCTGGGAATCAGACTTGGGGTCTATTTCTCTTAGTGCTGCAGCAAAAGCAACTGCTTTTTCTCGGTCTCTTTGTTTTTTCTCCTTGGCCACCTCCTCGTCACAGCTATAGAATACTGAGGAGGTAGTTCTTACTAACATCTCAAGTGAGCCGTCTGGGGCAAAAGCCATTTTTTGTAGCTTTTTCTCTCCAGCCTCCCATTGCATTGGTACCCCACAACCAGTTACTGTCCTCTCCCTAACCATCAGCACAGGCAGCAGGAATCTCGCTGCAGACCTCCCTGGACCTCCACGCGCTCCTCCACTGCAGCCTGTACTGTCAAGGGAAGAATGGCTTCCAGGGGGTCTCCCCAGGTATTGTACAAGGTCCTCCGGGTTTATAGCTTTGGAATGGCTCTCATGACCCCAGTCCACTAGACTTCTGACTCCGGGCTTAGTCTGTACTCTCATGTTCTCCGAGTCCTTGTTTAGCAGCTGTTCCTCTGCTGACTCGGGACCTTCCTGGTTCTCAACTGCAGGGGCAAGAGTGACCTGTTGTGTGGCATGTATTCCCAGGGGTTTCTCTATGTTGGAATGATTCATGCACGTCCGCGGGCGGGCCTCTGCAACCAGTGCATAGTGGGCCAATTGTGTCATTGCTTCTCTGTGCCATGATAATTCTGAATTGTGCAGCGGCGTCCGGCCTGAGGGCCGGTACGTGCAAGTGCACATCGCCGCGGCACCTGTGAGGCTGGGGGCCGGCATGAAGGCCCCCGCTCCCCGCCGCGTGGCTTCCCAGGCGCCAGGGGCCCTCTCTCTATATTTTCATCTGACCTGTCTTCTAGTTCACAAAATCTATTCAGCTGTGAGTAATCCACTTTTGAAACCACCTGTTGGGTTTTTCCATTCTAGAATGTCCATTTGATTGTTTTTGTAGTTTCTAACTTATTGTTGAATTCTCAATTAAAAATTCGTTGACTATACTAAGCATTATTATTTGAAAATCTGTGATAATAGTATTATCTGAATCTCTGGACTTTTCTGTTGGCTTTTGTTTCTCTTGGTTTATTTTCTCCTTTTTTTTTTTTTTTTTTTAACATATATTGTTACATACTATCACTATAAAACTTTTTTGAGCCAGAGGGTGACAATATATTCCTCTAAACAGTGTTTATATTTGGTTTTGGCTTTTGATAACATGTATAGCAATACTGGGTTGTTTGATTAAATTCAATTTCATTGCCTGTGATGGCATGTCTGTTTGTAGTTCACCTTTAGTCTCTATGGTGCATCCCTGTAGAGCTCTAACCCAGCCTTTACTTCCTAGGTTGCATTGCTGTGAATCTGTAACCCAGATTATAAGGAGTCTCAAAGATCCCTTCTGGGTGGCTTGTGTACTCGTTTTTTTCCCCTAGCCCTGCAAGGCTGACAAATGTTCTCACTTTGGGGTTGGCGAGTGTAGCGCAGTGGTAAGGGTACCCAACACCACCAGGCCCTGGGTTTAGTTTTCATTGTGCAAAACAAACAAAAAACAAAAGGTCTGGGTTTGTAAGCTGTGTGTTCCAGAACTGGTCAAGGCCATTGCGGGAAAGCTGCCCTGAATTTTAAACTTTGTCCACTTGTCTTTCTTGTTATTGTCTCTTTGTTATCTTTAAATCCTATCAAGGAAGTTTTTTGAAATTCATTTTTCAGCTTTCCTAGTTCTTAGTGTTTTTTTTTAACCTTCTTTATTTTTTCTGTATGTGGGTGTCTTCAAAATATACATATTCTAGGTTTTACAGAAATAAAGAAATTTAGTAATTTAAAAACTGGCTTTTGCTGCCTTCCTGATTTTGTCACTCTGAGTAGAGAATGCCATCCAACTCTTTCTGTTCAGATTTCTCTTCACTTATATTGCCTGTTTGTTGGAAAAAATAAGAATAATTTCAGTTCAAAATGGTTATCAGTAAATATACTTGAAATAGTAATGTTTAGTTGAAATTATTTCAAACAAATTAAGTAGTTCTAAATTCTGGATCCTATCAATGCTTGGTTACAGTATACACTGTTAAAACATTTTACCAGATACTTCATTTTAGCTTGAAATTCTGGGTTGGAATAAACATAACCAGAGTAATTGTATAGTCCTTACAGATATTGTGGAAGGCTGAACAAGGTAAATTTACGGAAAGATTAAAAGTCCTAATGCATAATAACACTTTTTTGGTAATTCTAGTTATAAAGTAAATTTGTTACTTGAAGTATTCAAGTTTAAGCTACCTCAAGGTATACATTCTATGTAGGGGTACTCCAAGCCACCTCTGGTGTTCGGAGGTACCTCATTGTACAGTTGTAATCATGGATAAGATTTATCGCAGTGATAAGACACAGATCCTAAGAGTAAAAGGCACAGGTGAAGTCTAAAGAATATGTAGGTAAGCATTTTTATGCTGTCTCCCTCTCATGGTCAGAGCACATTCTTCTGTAGAAATGAAAATATATGTGATGTTTTTACCCAGGGAAACCTGTGATAGGCCCAGCAGTATCACAAAGGTGAACTTCGCCAGTGTACCTAAGCAGCGAAGTGTCTGACATAGACTGCAGTGCTGTTACAGTGTAGGCACAGTGAGCCACTGTTATTGTTTAAGGAAGGTTTATCAGTATAGAAAACTGTTTACCAGGCAGATTTTCAGCTGCAAGACAAGGGTCAACCTTGTAAGTAGGTCTTCCTATGGAAGGCATGCTCAGCCTTTGTTAACTCTTTTCTACAGGCATGCCAAGTCACTGTTGAAATTTTCTACAAACATTGTATGTGAATGTCAAAAGTCTGCATAATAATTTTTGTTTCTATAATTAGTAAAAATGTGCACTATTTGCTAGGTAAAATTCCTGATGTTTATAATATGTTAGTATGTTTAGTACAGACTTACTAATGTGTCAGTGCCTGTTGTCAGTTTTAATTTGTGTGGGAAGAACAGGACAGTGTTAGAACATTCAGTACATCTAACAAGAATGTTTAAAAATTAAATTACAATGGGAAATAATCCATTATGAAAGGACACTTCAGATGTCTCCTTTTAAAGTTCGTATTAAACCACCCACTTATTTTTCAGATTTCCATGGACTTATTTTCCTTTGAGACCTTTTTAGGGAAAAAGTACTTTATAACCAAGAATTTTGGCTGAAGTAGCTCAAGCTGAATTTCAAATTCAGACATTTGAAAAAAATAGTTTCTGACTAATGTTAGAATCAAGTAGAAGAATTTTAGATATTAAAGACTGGTTTCCTCTTTTGTAAATGTGGAAGCTGACCCAAAAAGTTAAGTGACTGTCAGCAAAATTATGAATAGCTGTGTAGTTCATCTGTTTTTAGTAATGTTAATGAAAAATACCAAGAGAACATGAATTTATTTGACTGTGGATTTCTTTGCTTTTTGTACCTAATTTGGTCATCTAGCTCCTGCTATGTATTAGATGATAGTTTTAAATGCTGAGGATAATTATTTTCTCCTTTGTAATCAAAATATGCCCTACTTAAGGGTGGTGCTTTTCTTTAGGTTCTAAATTACATATATCTATTACATTATGTCCTGGTCCATCAAAGTATGTTATTCTTTTCTCTTTTTTCCTTAAGGTAATACTGCATTGCATGATTGTGCAGAATCTGGAAGTTTGGACATCATGAAGATGCTTCTTATGTATTGTGCCAAGATGGAAAAGGATGGTTATGGCATGACTCCCCTTCTCTCAGCAAGTGTGACTGGTCACACAAACATTGTGGATTTTTTGACGCACCATGCACAGACCAGCAAGACAGAACGTATCAATGCTCTAGAGCTTCTAGGAGCCACATTTGTAGACAAAAAGAGAGATCTACTTGGGGCTTTGAAATACTGGAAAAAGGCAATGAACATGAGGTACAGTGATAGGACTAATATAATCAGTAAACCAGTACCACAGACATTAATAATGGCTTATGATTATGCCAAGGAGGTAAATAGTGCAGAAGAGCTAGAAGGTCTTATTGCTGATCCAGATGAGATGAGAATGCAGGCGCTGTTAATTAGAGAACGTATTCTTGGTCCTTCTCATCCTGATACCTCTTACTATATTAGATATCGTGGAGCTGTCTATGCAGACTCTGGAAATTTCAAACGATGCATCAACCTGTGGAAGTATGCTTTGGATATGCAGCAGAATAATTTGGACCCCTTAAGCCCAATGACTGCCAGCAGCTTACTATCTTTTGCAGAACTGTTCTCCTTTATGCTACAGGATAGGGCCAAAGGCCTGCTGGGTACTACTGTTACTTTTGACGATCTTATGGGCATACTGTGCAAAAGTGTCCTTGAAATTGAGCGAGCTATCAAACAAACTCAGTGTCCAGCTGACCCCTTACAGTTAAATAAGGCTCTTTCCATCATTTTGCATTTAATATGCTTGTTAGAAAAAGTTCCTTGTACTCTAGAACAGGACCATTTCAAAAAGCAGACTATCTACAGGTTTCTTAAGTTGCATCCAAGAGGAAAGAATAACTTCAGCCCTCTTCATCTCGCTGTGGACAAGAATACTACATGTGTAGGGCGATACCCAGTTTGCAAATTTCCATCTCTGCAAGTTACTGCAATATTGATAGAATGTGGTGCTGATGTGAATGTCAGAGACTCTGATGACAATAGTCCCCTACATATCGCTGCTCTGAACAACCATCCAGACATAATGAATCTCCTTATTAAATCAGGTGCACACTTTGATGCCACAAACTTGCACAAACAAACTGCTAGTGACTTGCTGGACGAGAAGGAAATAGCTAAAAATTTGATCCAGCCCATAAATCATACAACATTGCAGTGTCTTGCTGCTCGTGTCATCGTGAATCATAGAATATATTATAAAGGGCATATCCCAGAAAAGCTGGAGACCTTTGTTTCACTTCATAGATGATGATTTGACTGTATTTTAGCACTGTTAAAGCACGAATCAGTAACAGTTGTTTCATAAATGAGCACTGTTGTGATAACACCAGCATTCATTTAGCTTGATATCATTGTGCTCTCATTGGCTAATGCATTATAATCATCAAACTTACAGGATTGGTTTCCCACTATTTAATATAAATATACCATATAATATATTGTTTGTGGATTATTAAGAACTGTAATATCATATCCAAATTTCTTAAATTGTTTGCCAAAGGCATATGATTCTGGGGATTTTTTTTGCTGTTGGGTGTTTGGGACAGAGTTAACTGTTTTTCAGTGGTATCTTTATACTTTACTGGCTTGTGAATTTTATACAATTGAAGATCTCTTTTTTCTTGCTTCTGTCTTCTCTTCTCCAAGCTTTCCCAGTTCCTTTTTTTTCCTCCCCTAACATTTCTACTGTTGTCTTTCCCTCTTATAGACCCATGCTAGGGCTTACAAACCTTATGGACTTGTTACTACCATTTCCAGTTACCATAAGTGCTTTATCTTCTCTATGCACCGGCTTAAACTTGACTGTTGTATGTTAGCATATTTTCTATGCAGCAGTTGGTCAACTTCAATTCAAAACACCATCTTCTTAAGTTTGTTACAGAGTTCATTTTATGCAAGTATTCTTGTAGCATGACAATTTTTAGAGCTGCAGGTTACCTCAAGCTTTTATTTTTTATTATTTTTCCTTCACGTCTGAAGTTTCTTTCTCTAATCCACACAAATTTTTATGTGCTAAATTTGGGAAACAAATCTATTCTAACTCATTAACCCAGTTGAAATATAGGTCTCTCATCTTAATATATCACATAATAAAAGGAAGACTCTTTAAAGTGACCCACCTTTCATCCTGCTCCAGCATTGTCCTGCTTGTGCTGATAGTGTGAGTAGGTGTAAAGAATTTGCTTAAATTTAACCTCAGAGTTTATCACACAGCTTAACAAGTCACATTGAAATATTCAGTCACTGAACTGCAAATCACTTTTAGTTACAAAAAAGAGCTAAAGCATGTCAGTGGCATGATGCTTGCCAAGCCGGATTAGGCATCTAGGATAATTAAGGTATTTTAGTGTGCAGTTTACTACCATAGTATCAAAGGTCAGTAACAGTGTTCTTTCTTTCTTCAAGCTTATGTATACCTTAAAGACAACTTGCATGAATTACTTTGGTCTCAATTATTTGTCACCTTAGTTAAACACAAAAGGTTACAGTGCTTCCTGTTCCTGTACTGAAAGTCAGCTTTGCCTTTTCTTTCTTTCTCTTCCTTTCTCCCTCCCTTCCCTCCCATTTCTCTTTCTCCCCTATCCCTCTCTGATTTGCTAATGCCACAGAAAGGGCTCTTTTAAGTGAAAAGTACTAAAAAAGATTCAGGTAATTATCATTCAGCACTTTATTGTTATTCAGAATAAAATTTATGATGGCATATTTGCCCTGCAAATGTCTTACTAAAATTGTTCTGAATAAAAAGTTCCTTACTGATTCGCAAAAAATTCAGTTTACCTGTGAATTTAATGAGCTGGATCACTCACTTGGATTTCAGGGCTGACATTCTGAGGGTTGATGTAATGCTATTTAAAGTCATTGCAAACAGTCACAGTAGGTTTAACTTCATCTTTATTCGTTAAAAACTTGTAATGAGTAGTAAATAATAAAGAACTTGGGCTTTTTGGTTAAATCAGGTTTAATTTTAAAAAATACACCCTTATTTTACTAATTTGTAAATTAATTTCACCACTTAAAGAAATGGATTAATAGTTACACACCAACCTTTTGATGAAGAGATTTTACTATCCCTTATTTACTGTGGGCAAATTTGATAAACTATTTGAACTGCCACATACAAAAATAATTTGTGATTTAGTCACACTCTAGAAATATCAAACATCGAGTTCATTTGCCTCTAACCTTAACCTTGTGCTGTGACAACTATATTTGCATGAGCTACTTTTTTAAGAAAGAAAAACTTTGCCAGTGTAGTAAATATATGTTAGTTGAACTCCATTTTGGGGTGAAAAATTAGAATTTCAAGTGATTTACTATTATCCCCTTCTTTTGGGTGTGGGGTGGGGCTTACATGTTCTTAGAGCAAGGCATATCTAACACTGTTTCCAGGGGAACTGGAATCTTGCAACTCCAGTGTAAAATAAGGATTTCTTTAAATAGTGTGTTTCCACCTCTAAAAACAGATAACTTAGAACTAACCAGTCCTCTGTCTTGATAACTGCAATGCCTTATTTCAGTTTGGATACAATTTTCTATTTGCTTCCTCTGCAGAGGCCTGTAGTAGCCCTTGAAAAATCAGTAGCTCAAAATTTTATTTTAGAATTGGTGAATAAATGTGACCTCGAGTACTCTTAAGACCTTCATCAGAAAGTAGTCTCAAATTTTTGAGCCTGAATAAAATAAAATCCTAAAATTGGTATTTTTAGAACTACAAGTGAAGAAATTAAATGCTTAATGAACTAGTTGTACTCACTTAAGTCAAATAAACTTGAGACTATAGCATGGTGATGTTGGCTGGAGTTAATATAAATTTTGACAGCATTTTAACAAAAATGCCCTGTTAAGGGCCTTCTGAATTTTAGGCGTCCTGTACAAAAATGTTCGTTTTACTCAGATAATGAGTCTGCTTTCTCAAGACAAATGTGTTATAGATTTAAAAATAGTCATTTTCTTTAACTGAGGCATAAGTCTAAATCAGAGGTAATTTGGCCCTTTACAATTTTGAAGTTAAATGATTCTTCGCTTTTAAAGTGACTACCTTACTTTGTTATATTTTGAAGACCCCGTTTACAGTTGAGAAAACTGTTTAAGTTATATTTGCAAAGTAGCTCTTTAAAATTGTATTACTCAGCAAACATTTGGCTGAATTTACAAGTATAATCATATTTATTTTTCTGGGAATTGTAAGGGCTGGATGAGATAACACATTCTTGTACACTGTAACAGCAGCACTATTGTTTGGAACTTGAATCATTTTAAAATTAGATACTGAGGAAACTAATATTAATTGGTCATCATCTTTTTCTTTTTATGCCCTTGTGTATCACTAAACAAATAGTTTTTCTCTCCTTTGTCAGTTCCCATGTGTATTTTTCAAAAGAAGTACTGTATTCAGATGCCAGCCAATAAATTGTTACACAATGGAAAATGATATTCCACTACATTCATTGTAAGGTTTAATAAAAGTAAATTTGCACCGAGCTGAAGTGTATTTGTATTAACTCTTAATACTCCATGTGTATTATTACCTAAAGCATATGATGGTGGACTCCTTTTTCAAAACCCACCGTCATAATCATTTTGTAAACTCAAGAGCTAGAATATATTATTAATACTTCTATGTAAAAAAGGTGGTTTATGTACCATTCTCAATTTTTCTATGAAGGATCATAGAATTAGTACCAGAAGTATATATAGTTAATACAGTAGTATATATTACAATGAAGGTAAGTTTTATGTATTTATCATTTTTAAATCATAAAATCTAAGTAGTCCTTTTTTTAATGTCTGAGTACCTAATACTACAAATTTTAATTGATTCAAAAAACATTAGTTTAATTTCTAAATTCTTAAGTATAAATTGAAATACAGTGTTAACAGGTATTTCCCTTTTGAATCATTTAATGTATCTTATTCATGACAAGTATAAGCTTTGTCATCCTTTTGAAAGGGCCCTTTTCAAGTCTTTTTATCCCTAATTCTGTGGTTCTATGGTTGTCTCCACTACCACCCCAAGTATTTAAAAAATCTTAGAAAATCTATAAGGAAAAGAATTTCAGTGGTCTTGTCTTACTTTTTCTCTTTGCTGAGACAAATATCCAACACCTAAAATTAAAGGAGGAAAGGTTTATTGTAGCTTAGGTTGTAGAGGTTTCAGTTCATAGTTAGCTAGCTCCAAGGTAGGGTGGCATGGTAGAGGTGCATCACAGAGAACAAATAGTTTATGGCTGAGAGAAGGCAGCAAACCAGCACAGTAGTGAAGAAGCAGCTCCAAAAATAGCTCTCTTTCTGTTCTTATAGTCTGTCTAGGCTACCTACCCTTAGGCCAGGTAGCACTCACACCCAGGATGGGGCATTCTTAGTCCTAGCCTCACACCGTGAATCAATCCCTGGATCACATCCTTAATCCCAGCATCACACACACTCGGTCCAGCTACCTCTCAAAAGCTGCACCTATGACTACATGAGGTTTTGCAGGGAAGTCTAGATACAAGCCATAAAAGATCTGAACAAGAAAGAGTGTTAGTATGCTTGCAAAATATTGCTCCAATGTACTATATTTTCGTTTTTGTGCTATTAAATAGACTGGTCTTTGTTGGGACTTTTGGGGCTTGAAGAGTTGTAGTTGGTTCATAGGTGCCGTATTACCTTACTGCATTTTATTGGAAAAGCACTTTTACATAAGATTTTCTCATAAAATTTTAGCCTTATGTAATTGTATAAGTTTAGTTGATTTTCCAAATATGTGTATTTCCAAAAGTGGAGTAACAAAATTCCTTGGCTTTAAAAAAATTGAAAACTCAGAAATATAATTAGGCATACATTCCCACTACGCAAGAATTTGATGAGTTATAGTTCCACTGGCACAATTAGGGTGCTTGTTAACCACTGCATACTTTGACATAAGTTGAGAGGTAATTGGTTTAAGGCCAGCCTGAACTACATAGTGAGATGTATTGTTACCAAAACTAAAAATGGAAAGATGATTCAGTCTATTACAAACAACTTGCTAAAAGTTCCCAGTGATCAATCTTTAATGAAGTGAGTTCTACTTGATATTTTTAGACATATTTGAGCTAATTTATTTCCATTTTGAAAGACTAAATACAATTTTATGAACAGATTTTCCCCATTGCTTACATAATAATACTAATTGGTCTTAGAGTGATACTTTCAAGATACAATCTGTACAAATGATAAAGTATACTTGTGGTAATACATAGTTCTAAAACTTGGTACCCTGACTGACATTTATTTTTGAGACAGGGTCTCACTATGTAGTTCAGACTGGCTTTGAGGTCACTTTGTACCCCTGGCTGGTATCAAACTTGCAGTGATCCTCCCTGCTCAACCTCCTGAGTGCTGGGATTACAGGCGTGTGCCACCGCACCTGGCCCCTGATTAATTTTTGAAAGCAAAATATATTTAATACATTTATCACAAGGGCTCAATTGGAAAATAATTTTAAAAAAGAAACAAAAGCACCTCAAGTTACAGGAGCTGAATAAAAGGACTGCCTTGAAAAAAAGGAAAAAAAGAGTGCCTAGACAAGGCAGGTGAGGAAACTGGGTTTACGCAGGGTTTTCACAGATTCTTAAAGGCTGCTACCTAGTTCGAGTTCAGCAACATTTGGCTCAAAGTGCTTACCATATTGGGTCCTAAAAGGCTCTGAATGGCAGCAGGATGGCCTGATACACAGGTGGACCACTTGTCATGCGGGATGTCCTGGAAGATGTTACCTGAGTGTCCATTTCTGATGGGAGGGCATGAAGGACTTCCTGGCAATGTAACCTTGGGGAAATCCAGAGACAAGTTAGTGCCCAGCTCCTTGTACACTGTTGCTGTCACTCTAGATGATCTTTACAGTTGGAAGCCAACAATTCTTTTTTTCTAAAATGAGCTTTATTTGTTCCCTCTTGCCCCTGAATCCTGGGCAGCACCTTGTAGGACCAAATCATTTACCAGGGCATCCTTACCTTGATACGTCAGTAAAAGTAGTATCAGTTAATATGCATTCAGTGAATAACACTGAGTTCCTGGAACACCAGGTGCTGCCCCAGGATTATTATACCATTTCACTATAGAAGACTGAAAAATGAGAAAAAGAAAACCATCTGTTTCACCTCCCAGTTGTGCGCAGTTAGTGCTTAGTTTTGTTTTCTAACTAACCGCCCCCCCCATTTTATTGGTTCTTTAAAGACATAAAAATTCTTAAAGTAGTGAATGAATAGCTAAAATTTGGTAGATTTTGAAAATAAAAATTAGGTCAAGAACCCAGGTGTGGTGGTATACATCTGTAATCCCAGCACTCATGATGCTGAGGCAGGACAGCTGCAAGTTTGAGGGCAGCCTAAACTACATAGTGAGTCTAGGTCATATCCCTGAATGCCCTCGATCTCATTTGAACTATGTAGTGAGACTCAAATCAAAAACAGTCATCACAAGCGCCTGCCTGGCAAGCGCAACGTCATGAGTTCGGTTCCTGGTACCGGAGAAAAACCAAAAAAAGAACAAAACAAACAAACAAAAAAACACCAAAAATAAACAGTCATCACTACCACCAAAAGGAATTAAGAATAAATTTAAGCAGCTTATGTTGGAATGAAGAGAAAAAATCAGGGATATTTCCCATAGCCTTTCAGGGTAATCTTATGCTTGTACACATATAAATCAATAAACACATACAAATCAATAAATTCTTTGCCAGTAGGCAGTAATTCTTTTCTATGCCTTTTCATGACTGATAGGATATCCTCTATTCACCTAGATGTAACATTTAAAGAAATTTTGGAAGCTTTTAGTTATGCATGCAGAGCTATGAAACATTTAATCTCTGATTTGCATTTAATCTTAACTCTGCATCATTTAACTTAACAGGTCTTAATATATATTTTGTTGAAAATGTTTATTTTACAGATAAAATACACAAGTTAGGCTTGTAGAATATTTTTCTTTAAATAATCTGAAACTTTAAAAAATGTTCAAGTAATTTTAGATTTACAGAAAAGCTGCAAAATTAGTACAGTGAGTTTCGGTGTGCCCTGCGTTTAGTTTCCCCTAACGCTAACACCTTATGTAAGCATTATATATTTGGCAAAACTAAGATATTAACATGGGTATAATACTACTAGCTACATTACAACTTTGTTTGAATTTCAGTTTTCCCACTAATGTCTTCTTTTCTGTTTTTGGATCCAATCTAAGATTCTATACTTCATTTAGTCTCATGTGTTCTTAACTTAACAGTTTTTCAAATTTACATGTTTTTCCAGATCTTGACATTTTAAGTACTGATTAAAAACATTTTGTAGAACATCCCTCAATTCAGGTGTATCTGATAATTTTCTCATGACTACACTGGGATTATAGTTTTCTGGGGAGAAAACTATCCAGAGGGGTAGTAGCCTCTCCTAACATTCTAGTAGCAGGTACAGGGTGCTGACATGACTTGCCACTGGTTATGTTAACCTTGATTTCTTGATAAAGATGGTATCTGCCAAGTTTCTCTACTCTGAAGTTATACTGTGGAAACAAGCCACTAAATCCAAACAATGCCCAAGGGGAGAAGAATTAAACTCCACTTTCTGGAGGGGGCATATATTATTTGGAATTTTAATGTAAAGGAGGTTTGTCCCTTCTCATTTCTTCAATCGTTTTTCTGTATAGATTCATGGATAAGTTTTTTTGTTATAACCCAATACAATAATGATTTTATTGCTTAAATTGTTCCAGCTTTGGCCATCGGGAACCACTTTCTTTTCTTTACCCTTCCCTGCGTTCTAGTACTGCAAAATGCTCTAGGCTCAGGATATAGCTCAGTGACAAAACATACGTTTAGCATGCGTGAAGCCCTGGGTCCTGTTTGCTGGACCTCCAAAAAGTGCTTCAGGATCATCTTATATTTTTCCTGCCCGAGGCCTAGAGTCAGTCACTTCTCCAAGTAGCCCAGGAGAATGGTATTTAGGATCCAAGATTTGGGTGCAACCCAAATGTGTGCTTATTGTTTTGGGGGACTTTGCTATTATTAGGCCTCAGTGAGCAGAGCTAGGAAATAGATGAATGCATACTAATACATGTATACACGTTTACAGTCACTTCTGTATTGATCGGTATACATACATTTAAAATAAACGAGTTTATATTGTTATTTCCAACCAGGGATCCAGCACCACAGCATTTATTCTAGCTTTTGCCTTTTGCTTCTTTCTACCTTCTTTCTCTGTCAGTGACATACTGTACAAATATAGTTAATTTTTTCAGCCCTGATACACATATAAAACAGCTGCAAAACTGCTAACCTAGAATACTTGTAAAAGATTTACCTACTAGCATATGGTGTTTATATACATTCCTTTTTGACCTTAACATTATGTAGTCAAAACATATTACAGTTACTTAAGGCAGCACCAACAAAATATTTTTCCTCCAACCAACATTTTTTTGCCTGCATCAAATTAATTTATGTCTTTATAAAGTTGAT